CTGCAACAGAGAAATAATCATTGTTATATCCATGACGTGAACCATGTGCTTCATGTGGTTTACTATCTGGAAAGTAGTGGAACTGTCCAATCCAGTGGATATCTCGTCCATGTAAATAGCTGTTGCTGGCCCGACCAACATTTCACCTGCATCCAGTCGAGATGCAGACAACGTACTATTAAAGACACTTGAAGCATGAACCAACATCCCCCTGGGGAGCTGACAGCTAATTTCTTGAGACAGGCAGAGCACAAATGGTGTCATCTCTTGGACAGGTAAAAGCGTGCTCCATTTCTTTTTAGAATTACTGTATATTGAATCAATATTCCTCATTGACATTTCTCTTACCAGAAAGAAAATAGAGGAACAATCGAATTACAGTTGTGATGCTAACACAAAACGAGGGTTGTAACTTGTAAGCTGAAACTCTGGGATTTTACCTGTGGTAACACGCTTCTTCTGCCCCCCTGATATACCTCTTTTTAGCTGGTCACCAACCATGATATCCGAACAAATATCTAATCCAAGAAGCTGTAGTAGAAATCTGACTAGTAAATTATTTTGTCGAACTCGAAATCCAAATGTTGAAAACCAGTGTAGAAACTTAAGAACTGACCTTGAGAACACAATCTGTGGCCAAATTACTTTTTTGACCTGCCACTGCTACAGCCTTCATGAATGCATCAATCTCAGGGTCTGGATTGATTCCTGCTTCTTTCTCGCGTCTTGAGAGTTCAGCTAGCGTTTCGTACCTTCGGCCCGTTCCCAGGCACCGCCTTGAAAAATCCAACGTCTCCCTGACGGTCATCTCTCCATGATGTAGATCATGTTGACTAACATAGGCACAGGTTCTTTGGGGCACAAATTCATCCATCTCGTGACCACAGTATGTAATTTTTCCACACGTCTGTGTCAAAATGTTGGTTAGTGACCTATTAATATTTAATACCTGGGAGTATATATCATAACAAACACCGTTTCAAATACCATATAGATGAGTAAATAGCTGGAAAAAACCATTGTACCTTTAGGTTATCTTCAATCTTTCCTGCAAGTGCCTGCAGCAATGTTGTTTTTCCTGCACCTGGCGGACCAAGAAGTAGTGTCATCCTGAAAACAAAATAAAGTTTTTTGTTTTCAAGTGATTACTCCGAGGTCAGAGCAACAATTATCCAACTAGGGACAGAAAGATACCTAGATGGTTTGACGATTCCACTGATATCTTTAAGTATAGTTATTTTTCTCCTATTGGAAGGGGCAAGACGAATTGATCTCAGCGCAGTCTGTGTCCATGACAGTTTACATTGACAGAGAACATATAAGTCACCACAAAAACATATTAGTACCACCTATATATTCTAGCTTATGTATGTTTTTTTTTTTTTTTTGGGCGCATATTCTAGCCTACGTTAGAATGATTACTCAATCAAACACAAGATTAGTAAATGTAGATGAACTTTTTCAGTTTTTAGACAACAGTAGTGTTTCTTGAACTGATATATGGACAGCAAAATCACAACTAATAAATGTTAGAATTCTCAGGAACGAACTGGTTATCCCCTCTAATTTCAAAAGGTAGGTCGCGTGGTGATTTACCTCAATTACATTCAGGATAGCGTTCAGCAAAGTTGGAATTGCTCTACTCCCAACATGAACCTCTCCTTCGACAGATAAATGTTCGTAACGCACCTCAAGTGTTGGAACCTGAATCCCAACCCTGCATGCATGCATGAGCGTTAACAAACATTAATCCTAAAATAAGAACCAAAAGAAGAATTTTTGTTGAATGAGAATATTTAAGGCGAACCTATCAACCCGGCTTCTTAGCCTCTGGAGAAACTTTTCATAATCTTCCTCAACAACCCTTAGTATATTATTAACCAACATCCTCTTCTTGTCTGATCCTAACCTAACGAGGTCCAATTCGTGACCCACGATCCTCCCGTCATCCAGAACCTGCCTCAACACGGCTTTCCTCAACCTATCATAGGTTGGCAGCCTCTCAATGGCAGCCCACTTGAGCTGCTCCTCATCTTCCTCATGTTCTGTACTTCCACCAAAAACTTCGGGAGCAGGGTGCCAGGCCTCCCTGAAACTGGCCGACGCCCAACTCGTGCTACCAGTACTCTTCCTTGCTAGATCATCACCCGTTAATGCCAATGCCATTGTTCACCGTGTAACACTAAGGGCGCGTTTGGGGAGCGTTTCCAGTCTGCTGCAGCGGAGTGGATGCTATGCTACCCCTCACGTTTGATTAAAACCTACTCAAACCAATTTGAAAAAAAAATTGTCCAAATATTACTTCTTCAAGAATCGCGCCTCACGACCAAGCACTCCTGGGAAGGATGTCCACGCACTACTGAAAATGCATGGGAATAATGAATTGGTTATTGAAGAGAGAATCCTTGCGGAAGCAAGATTTTGGGTGGATTCACAGGACAAAATGGAGAAAGAGAGAGAGAAACAGAGAGCGAGCGAGGAAGTTGAGGGTGCGGGTGGCATGAGATTTATAGCTTGGCGGAGATTAATGAATGAATTGTATTCTTGGTAATGAATGATATGAAGTCAATGCGGGAAGCCCGGCTGTGACACTACCACATCTCCAATTGTTGGAAATGGAAGCTTCTAATGCGGATATAATTACTTGCTACCAACGGAGTATTTGACATTATTACGGCTTTATGCATGCAGGATTATCTTACCATTTATAGTCCTTTAACCATAAAAGATTGGGAAAGAGATTGGATGATAATTACTACTCAATGCAAATCTAGCTTCGTGTCTCTTCCTTTCTTTCTTTTTTTCTTTCCTATTATTTTTCCTTCTTTTTCCCCCTTGGTTGGCTCGCGGGGGTTCGTTGAACTTTGTTTAAATTTTTTTTTCCGAATTTTTATCAGATATTCTTGTACATATTTTCTCCTTGCAATGTTTTGCTTCTCTCTGTTATCCTTTATTGTTCAATTTTATTGGTGAGATACTCAATCGAAAGTATCTCTTTATTTGTATATCGCTTTGCCAAATTTACCTGTTTAAGAAAAAATGAAAGAAAGAATTCAATTATCAATGTTCTAAAAGGTTGAGAGGGAGCATTTATTTAAGAAGATTCTAAAGAATTTTCCCCTTGTGAGAGAACATTTATTGGTTTCCTTTTAGAAGTATTCTAACAAGGCACTCATTGACACCTATATTATGTATTGCATGTTATATGAATGAAAACACCCACATTTATTAGATTACTTTTATCAAGACACTTGTCTAAATTTACTAGTATATTTTTACAGCAAGACTAATATTTGAAACCTCTCTCTTGTAACAAAATTAACCATACCCTTCATTTTATGGGTTTGGTTGATGAGTTCCTGTTAAAAGGGTGTAAGGGTGTAATTAATTTAAGAAACGTCTAAATGTAAAGGGTGTAATAAATATGAATCTGTACAACTACACACCATATGATATGATTGGTATTAATTTTTTAGTAAGAGCATTATTAATTTAGTAAACGTATAAATATAAAGGGTGTAATAAATGTAAAAGTGTGCAGCTATATGATTAGCTTGGTGTAAACTAGTTTTACTAACAAACTCGATATCTGTCCCAAAAAAGGTTAGGATATACTTCAAATGCTAGATTTTTTTATAAGGTAAAATCTATTTGGGAAATATACAAATACAAGGACATGTATTAATTGTTAGTGTGTATGTATACACATGACAAGTTGTGTAGAATTTTAGGTGCGCTACATACTAATATGTAGATGGTACCACTACAAAAAAAACGTAAGTAAGATGGGCTTCACCGACTTAAAAGAATAGGTTATATTCTAGATTTTCAATCCATACATGTAAATCTATACCGTCATATGGTATACTTGATAGCGCATTTTCAACATGTAAATTAGTAATACTGGTTCAAGAATCCCCTTCCTTTTCAAGAGTCTACTCCAGCAAAGGAAAAGAACAGCTACATCAGTTGCTTTGGTTAGGACAAGCGTATAAGAAATAAGATTTAGGATATCAATTGTCAAAGTGACTATAAAACATACTGAGTTAAAGGCTGGCCAAATTCAGTGGAATGGAATGAATGATCTAGGACAAAAAAATTCTGATTTTGGCGGGATGAGCCATGGGGGTGTAAAAAAAATCCCAAAAATCTATTTTTTCTTCCACCTTCTATCACTCATCTTTTTTCCTTCCTTCAATAACTAGAGCCTTTCTTTGATTACCGCTCTAGTAAGTTTCTTGCTATCCCAGACCAGTAATAATGTTTCTTTATGTACAGGTGTCTTATGAATATCCAACTTGTGGAGGTCTAAACTGCACCTTTGAAGTTTACACCTTGCTATCTTCACATAGCTCAAGAAGCACCTGTCAGAAAACTGAAGCAGACACTTGAAGATTAGACGAAATGTGCACGCTGGAAGTAAAAGAGCGAAGAAGTCTCGTGCCAAAAGAGCTGCCTTAGTGCAATGCATGATATTGTCTATGAATGTTACCACAAAACAGCCTAGACAGCTAAAACTTCCACTGATAGACAACTACTTCAACACAAACTATGCACACTAGCAGCTGTGTCGGGCTATCTGCATTTTACTGAAACATTTTCTTGTCCCCTTAAATCATCATTGAATTGGGAATTTCAAAGAAAAAGAATCTATGCTTAAAGCACTAGTATTTTCCATGTGCAGCATTATTATTATTATTGCAGAAAAAAAATATGGTGAGAACCTTCAAAACCTGTAAAAAGAATGCCTCAACTTACATCTGGAATGTCAAAGTCACCGTACCTCGCATCACAAATATCAAGTGACATTTTCCGAAGCATTGGCATCTGCAGCCAACAACCAGAAGCAGATCAAATATGCAAGTTCATAAATTCAGTTTCACTACGAAATGGAACTTAAAAAGGATTTAAAGAACATGGAACCAGTAAGCTCACCTCTGAAGCCATAAGAACAATAAAGTTTTTGGGAATTCCAGTGCCCTACATCTTGAAATTTAAAGTTCAGATCAGGCCCACTGAATTGTTACAAAAAGAGGTAAGAGATAAATTATCTCACACTACAGGTGATCTAGAGAATTCTGAAGCTTTTGAAAAATTTTATTAACTTCAAAATTGTCCCGAAACTGTTCCATATATGCCAAATATCGCAGGGACAAAGGGAACCAGGGATATTTACCCAATTATTACATTCCTCGTCGAATATTTAAAACATAATTTTGTTTGTATTAGGTTCCCAAACACATTTAAGTTGAATTCTATGAAGCCAACTTCAGTTATTTGAGAGCCAAAGCATATTATTATTTCTTCTCCCTCTCTGTTCCATTATCCTGCTCTTGCTTCTTTCCTCGTCAGGTTTTAGTTCACATATTTGCCCTTTCTCAATCAAACTGTGGCAACACCATAAGAACAAATAGCACCTATTCAAGTAGAGATCAACTTAAATAAATATATATATATATATATATATATTCTGACCACCAGGATTCTCTTCTGAATCGACCTCTCTCTCTCTCTCTTCTTTTTTCTAATATCAATTGCATCCATGTTATTGTTTTCCTAGATCATACAGTCTTTTTGATCAACTTTATGTCTTGGTGAGAAAATTTTGGTTGTTTATAGTGCCTCTTCAACCTTTTATGTCTGTGGTTTCTCCTCAAATTGAAAATGCACCCGCTTAAGTTTGAGGCTTAATTCCCCTGGTGTAATTAAACTTGGTGAGTCCATTTTCATTTTGACAAATAATTATCCTACAATATCTTGAAGAAAACTTGCAAGACAAGACCCCAGTCATAATTTTGGGACTTCTGATAATCTCCAGCATAGTTGATGTCCTGATAGCTGTCTCAGTCTTAGCCTTGACGACCTTGTTCCAATCCTTGATCATGGTCTTGCGGCATCTGATTCTTAGCTGCCTGCTCCAACTGAATTGGATAGGCATAACTAGATTGGCACCCATACTGCCTTCTCTGTAGTTTCCACAAATTTTGAAGATTTTGGAGATGGGCATATGTAGTAACTTTGGCAGCTCTGCAAGCTTCCAAGGCAGTGACCACTTCACCACAGTGTGAGTTTTGCCTCACATTTTTAAACCAGTTTGTGGTTGTGGAAGGAGAATTACTCTTTGTAGATAAACCCAGCGATGAAGTATATTTAGTTTTTTGTAAAGTCAAGAGACGAGGTCAACTAAGGTCAACTTTAAAGCCAATCTCCAAGAAGTCAACTTAAAAGTCGATTTCCAAGAAGTTGACTGTAGTCTCAAGAGCTCAACTTCCACATTTTTGGAAGTCCATTAAACATTAACAAAATTTTTAAATTTTAAAAAAAGCAATATTTGCTTACACGACCTGAGGTACAAAGGGGAGTCTGGCAATATTTCACCTTATTTTCATTTGTTAGCTTTAGAGGTCCAAAGGGGAATCAGGCTACAAACTTTCTAGAACCCTGAAAGCAATAAAGGGTTCAATAGTCTTTCGAGCTCGAATTTCTTAAAAAGATGCGCAACAAACTCAAGCATTTTGTGCTGAATCAAAAGTAATTGTTCAACAGCAATAAAGTATTCTTCCTGACTATGAACCTTTATTTTATAAACAGATAAGCAAGGAAAGAGGCAATTGACAACTCACAGTATGACGTAGCAAGAGATCTTCAAGGGCTCGACAGTTCATAAGAGATGAAACACCATGGGCTGTTACTTCCCCACAGTCCTAATAAAAATTAAGAATTGCTGAACATGAGAGGCAGTAGGGGCAGTTACTGAGAGCCAGATAAGTTTAGAAATTGATGAATAGTTTATTTATTATGACAGAACCAGTAAAAAAATTCCTGTCACCATAGAAAAAGCAAAAAGAGGAGAGAACACCTTGAGAGGTCAATAATGAATTTTGGAAAACTCTGCAGACTTTTGAATGATATTTGAGCATTAAAGGACCCCAGGTCATCAAAAATAGGTAACCTAATGTCTCTTCTTGCTATTGATTCTTCTGTAAAATGCTTTGGGTGGAAAATTTTTTGACCAGAAATATAGCTGCTATAGAAAGATCACATCCCCCAAAATGTTCCACTACTAGTAATGTGCAATTTGTGCTCAAGAATTGCAGTCACAGAGGCTGTAACAAGTGCATGATCTGAATGACTGAACTAAATAAAACCTAAAGCCGGCAAAGGAAAAAGCTTAACAAGTGATTGCTTAGATCTCGTTTCCCTCTTGTACCAACATATTCCCAAGTCGACAGTCATTCTAAAAGGCTTGTAGCCCATCTATGATAAGGATAATGGAGCCTTGGGACATAAAACCCTTTCTTTCTTTCTTTTTGTTTGGGCTGGGGGAAGGGGGTGCGGGGAGAGGTGAGAGGAATCATTTCCAGAAGGGACTAAATCGTTACAGAGCTATGGCAACATATATTTTAGAAAGGTGAATGTGGGCACTCACTTTTGAAGCTACAAGAACCTTGAAACTTTCACAACCACTTAACAAGGCAGTCAGGAGAAAATTTACGAAATACGGATCTACAAACCACCAAAACTGTAAATATGGAATTTAACAATAATGCCAATGTCCAAGGCACATCCAATAATGAAAAAGAAAAACGAGGCAAGACCTGATTCTGTTAGCAAGCACTGTTTTTGCAACACGAGGGAGTGTTCCTCCTCCGTAGTAATACTGCTAACAGTTTAAGGAGAAATACATGTGCAATGATTTATGTATTAGCAATACGCTCATTGCTGAAGGACAAAATAAGGATGATATAAGTTTTAGAGCAATGTGACAAAGTGGAATTTGAAATGTACAACCCCTAAGAAAATGCACACAGGACACAACTCCCAAAGTAAATGGAAGTGCATACCAGCTACTATCCTACAAATACTTTTTGAGTTTTGAGAACAGTCTTCCTATACAAATCTCAAGAACTAGACAAAAGATGACTAACCTCAAGATGCAGAGAGATCAAACCTGGCCAGCCACATGAAATGATATCTTGGGATTCTACAAACAACAGCAATCAAAAATTAAATTTGAGTCATTTATTGCCTCACAATTCAAAAGTTCTACTTGAATTAACAATAGGGTGCAAAATCAAATAGAACACAATGAATAGAATCTGCCACCTGCAGCAGCTTCAAGAACATGAGAGAGGATGCAGGTTCTAAGAAAATGCATTTCAATCATTATTACAAACCTGGATTAAGAAGTCTGCATCCAAGCAATGAAAGATCAACCAAATTTGGACAATTTTGAGTCAGAATAATTAAGTCAGTATTCGTCATCCAAGCTGCAACCCTTTCAAGTTTCAAATTCCTCAAATTTGGCATGCTGATCTGAAAGCTTAGTGAGGAAATCTGACCAAAGCAATAGCAGAGAGCCAGTACTTGCAGTTTTCTAAGGGTTTTCATAATGTTGATGACAAGAGAGTCAGATATCACCTGTTATAAGCAGAACATATTACCCACAAATTTCACATAGTTCTTCACATATAAAAAGGACAAGAGATCAAACTACTCTAACCAAATGGTTTCAAAGCAAGCAAATAAAATCACTTCTTATTATGTTACTAGTCAAGGTAAATCAAAAAGGAAAAAGTTGTACATATAAAGTCTGCAGATATTGAAAAAGATGGTGAACTAGATGCGTATGCTGCAGATAAATGAAAGATTGCAGCAGAAAATGCAAATTATTTCAATGTCCTGAGCAAGAATATAAATCGGTTGTGTTTGTTTTCTTCTTTTGGGCTGTGAGTGGGGGGAGAGTGGGGCAGGGTTTGTGCAAAATTAATATCTGCTTCAGTTGGCTTAGACATTTCTCTATCATTGTCAAGGCACAAGATGAGTAAACAAATTTCTCAATCATCATTAATATCTGTTTGGACATTTGTCTGAATAGAAATTATACGCAAATGAAGGAGAAAAGAACCAAGAGTAACAGATATAGAACAAACAATTAAAAAAGAAATTGATCTACAATCTCTCACAATCTGTTTGTAGTTTATGTACTAGCTAATGCCACAGAAGATTCAGCACCTGATGACAGATATGATTTGGTTTGAACACATATAAGAAAGGGCCACAGTTACCTGGAAATAAATCATCAGCGTTTCTAACAAAGGAGAGAAAGCAGGTAAGAGTCTGAGCCCATCATGCCCCAAGGACCCACCTAAACCAACTACCAATGTCCGTAGTGATCTAATTGCAGGTTTCAAGCTCTCCAAAGAAAAGAATGAAAATCCCCATCCAACTGCAATTTCCTCCAACTGGCACGACTTGCCAAGTTCAGAATGCAACTCTGTCGAACTATATGCCAAGTTAGAAGGCTCTCTGCCTTCAGCATCCATAAAATTCAGTGACAAATGCTTACAGCCTCTTGCTTTCAGGCATTTCAGACCAGGATTTCGATGGATTAAGTGAGCCAGAGCAAGGCTAGAAACCCAAGTGAAAAATTTTCTCATCAAACAAAGACATTGCCATGAAAAGCTTTGGAAACCAAGTGTTGAAAACCACATACATGAAACAGCAAAGAGAATCCTATATGGTTTATCAGTTATCACACCTTGGTTTCAGAAATATCTAGCATCTCCAAGGAACATCCTGGAAAGCGATTGAGAGCATCATCCACAAGGTGGGTTTCCCTTAAAGATACACTCTTTATCATAAGAGTTTGAGATAGAAGTTCTGAAAGAGATGCTTCACTGACCCCTGCAATTAATAACAATGTCAACATAATATTCTTGAGAGCAACATGTCTACATTCTTAAATGGGAAGGAATAAAACTTCAGCCAACAGAAGAGGAAAAAAATTATATCACTTACCCATGCAGCCACCTATATGTAGAGTATGGAACTTAGAAGCAAACGAGTGCAAGGGTTTTTTAGCTTGTGGCTCTACATGGTCCTCAAGGTTGTGAACACCAGAACAAAGCGCCGAGATTGATTCTTGCCCAAAATAAGTATCACAAGCCAAGATTGAGCGAAGCAAAATGCAGTTTAGTATTACAAAAGATATGCCAGAATCTGTTACTGACATACAACCATTAAGGTTAAGGTAACAGAGGGATGCACATGATTTGGTGATCTTACGCAGGTCAGAATCTGGGGAAAACATAAAAAATGACAGTTATGTAGCACAGTTCAATAATTATCGAAGCATAGCACTGTTTCAAACACAATCAGAAAAAGAGTCACAGCCAAAACTCAGACAGCACAGTACCAACAAACCCCCCCCCCCCCCCCAAAAAAAAAAAAGTGAATGAAACACACTCTGGAACTCAACAATCTAGAACTGGCAAACAAACAAATTGTACAAAGGCTTAATAAAACAGCACATTCTAACTGTATGCAACAGGTGCATGACAGAGGAGATCAATTTCCAAAGTTGTTTTCAACTGAGCTCGACAGCTCCAATTCCAGATAATAAACAAGCACGTGAGGAATAGGTGAGTTTGATTATCTCACCAGCAATATCACTTCTGCCCTGCAATGTGAGCCTTGTGATATTTGAAAGTTGTCGTCTGGACATGTTACTCAACGAGGCATCCCAAGGGCAGTGATCATCATTTGGGAACTCTCTTGATCCTAGGGGAGATAGAGCAGGTTGTGAAGATACAACGGATACTTTTGCAGGTATAAGAGGGCTAACATCCACTGTTAGGTCAATGTTGCACAGAAGGGGAAATCTTGCCAACAAGCGAATCAACTTCTCAGTTCCAAAGTCTACATAATTTACCGCCCTTAGCTTCCTCAAGGATGGAAAGGACTTGGAGAAGCACTTGAGAGCATCCTCAAGATCCAGCATTGGACAATTTGAAATATCCACCTCTTCTACAGCTTCAAAAGTCAAAGTTGGCAAGTGATCCACATTGAGATATTGAAGGTTGAGCAAAGGTCGCTTAAATTTTTTTCTTTCCATTATATCCCTGCTGTATAGAGGAGGAAGTAATGACAAGAGCAGAATAGGCCTAATTTGCGGGCAACCTGAAAGATCCACCTTCTGCATGGTGAACTAGGGATCAGTAAGTTACCAATTACTATGAGAAACCACCAGATGTACAAAAGCATTACAGACATAAAAGAGAATATCAAGGCAAGCCTCAAACAATTCACCCATTTTAAAGATCAGGATATCTGTGTGTCTGCATACTGTAATATGTTTTATTCACACATATAAGCATGCTCATATCTGTATGTGTGTTTCGGCCCACATAATTTACAAGGGGTAAAAAATGCAGATGAGTAAAACCTTAGTAAATTCTGTTAATCGAATTTGCATACAACTCAAATCACAATCTGCACATATGTTTCCCACATCGATAGAAGGATGTCCAGCTAGCTGAAGGATAGCATCAATGTTTTCATCAGCAAACTCTGCAAAGAAGCAGCACCTTCTTTTACCTAAGAAAAAAGCAACTTAGATAAAGTTAGTTTTTAAGATTAAAAAAATGAATTAAGATAGTTATATTTAAAAGAAATCCTCGCTAGAGACAGTTACCAGCAAGAAACCACAGAGGCAAACAATTACACCGTATCTGCAAAAACAATAGTGAGAGAGAAAGTTAACATATTGATGAAACATATTAATAGCCATTATCAGCAATTTCCATGTAGAACATGACACTAGTTTCAGATACTCAATCCAAACAGTAGAAACTTAAGAGCAGTATAGGGAGAGATCTATGTTGAAATGCTACATTGTCTACAAGCCTAAACTGGTTTGTTTGGATAGAGGTTATTTGAAATATTGTTTGGAATAATTACTATAGCACTTTTTGTAATGTGATGTATGTGAGATAAAAAGATGATTGGGAATATAAAAAGGTGGGTTGAAAAATGTGTTTATGATGCAAGCAAAATATTATTTGAAAAAATGGGGTATCCAAACGAACCCACTAGTATCCCAGGAAAATACCATGCGTGCTCCCATGAATATTATCAATGTTATGATTATCAATTAACATATATCAAAGAATACAACACCACAATTTTAAAAACTGGTTTGTTTGGATAGAGGTTATTTGAAATATTATTTGGAATAATTACTGTAGCACTTTTTGTGATGTGATGTATGTGAGATAAGAAGATGATTGGAAATATAAAAGGTGGGTTGAAAAATGTATTCACGATGCAAGCAAAATATTATTTGAAAAAATGCGGTATCCAAACAAACCCACTATCCTAGGAAAATATCATGGGTGCTCCCATGAATATTATCAGTTAACATATATCAAGGAATACGACACCACAATTTTGCCAATGCAGCACTAGAAGAAAAATTTGAGGAGAAATTGATATGCTTAATTAGTCCTGGTAATTTCAAGAATACGACTTTGCTAGGTCAAGAAACAGCAACTCAGAAAGACAATTCAACTCGTTCATTCTTGAGGTAGATGAATTAGATGCAAAGTTTATTCCCTCCTGTACCTGCAAGGTAAATTGTTCCAGCACCATTTTCCTTTAATAATACTTTCCAGGAGAATAAATTTAAATTCTAAGGTCAAATTGCAATTTGCCGGTAACATTTTAGCGGACATGAACTCACTATTTATACATTTCAATTGGTAAACTACAGATGCGCATATAGCTTGTGGTTCACTACATGACTCATAACAAGAACAATATCTTGGAGCAGTTACCCAACCTAGCAATTTGAAAGAGCACGTTACTGTCACTAACTTCCAGTAACCAAGCTTTGCATGAGCCACACTCTTTCTCCATTTTGAAATTAATAGGATAGATAATCAAACTAATATGCTTGCTTGACCATTCATTTGATAGGATGCTTTCACAAAGTGGAATAGTTTCTTTATGTAAAACAAGGAAAATTGGGTATCAAAAGACATCTTATGGCTAAAAAACTTGTTTACTCTTCTTATTCTGCCAATATCACAATGACATCCAAAGCCTACTATTATATTCTCTTTGCAGTCTTCAGTCATTCAAACCAAGCAGCAATGCACAACTTAAATGCGAGAAAATACAATTCAGTGAATAAGTGATACATTTCTTAGAAGTTTGTAAGATTGTATAGATAGATTTTGCATGGTTAACATCACCAGCAAACCCAATTCCCAAAAACAACCTTTAGAAAGACAATCAATCTATTTACAGACCATGATTTGCCATAGGAGATTTTGCATTCAAACTTTGGCAGAAGAACAACACTGCACCAAATTTAAATAATAATGATAACAAAAGAATATGAGCATGTTGAAACTTCATCTTATTTCGAAGATCTATAAATCAGAATATCTATTATTCCAATCAGTAAAAAATGGCCTCACAATGCATTTTGGTTACAGTCCTTGGAAGATCTAAGAGCGAATTGCGCGAAATGTCACTAAACTATTTCAAAGTGCCGGTTCTGGTCACTAAACTTTTTTATTAGCGCGAAATGTCACTGAACTAGTAAATATGTACCGTTTTGGTCACTCCGTGTATTTGTGTGGTTAGAAGAGACGGAAAATCACTTTTTAAGGGGTAATTTTGTCTACACAACTGTTAAAAAATTTATGCCCTCATTTTTCTTCACCCACAACCACCCATCACCTACATTGCCACCCACCGCCATCACCTCCACCTCAACTCTCCTTCCACTCCCTTTTTCTTTCTTCTTCCTCCTCCTCCCTCTTCCACCATTTGTAACAAAGAACACCCTTTATCATTACTTACCTTTCCCAACCGTAAATAAAGCATGAGATGGAAAGCCAGTCTTCATGGTGGGGACCTTGGCATAATCTGGAAAATGACTGCCTGGGCATTTCCATACGAGTAAACTGTGCTTCCACTAACAAAGGTCTCCTTCTCGTCTTTCTCGTGTTGACCAATGCAATAAATAAGTCCAGTTAGCATTTCACCTAACAGATTCAGGCTTGACACAACTGCTGTAGAAGGTACTCAATATTCTAACAGATGCATATTTCATGTTCAAAGTTGAACTTTCCATCAGACTCTTGTGATTTTGTGCCCAAATCTGAGATGGGTTTACCAACTATTTTGGAATCTCTGATTTGTTGGATAGGTTGAAACTTCTCTGAGATGGGAGATTTTCTCATTGCCTAATCTTTGAAATCTTGAGGTAAAAAACCAACTCCTGAACCCTCATTCTTCAAAATCAGTAAGAGGTTTGCACCAGCTTCCTTGAAGAGAGACCTTGCACCCTCATTCTTCAAGATCTGAGCAAATGCATCTAGGGAGCTTTTGTACTTCCGCATAGAAGCAGATTCCGAAGTTAAACTTCAAACCCACCATGTTAAACCCTTAAATAAGAAAAAGGGTTTTCTTCTTTTCTGCATAATGGGATAAAAATTATTTCCCAAGAAGTAATTAGGTTGAATAAGTTCTGATGTATGACAAAAGGGAAAATAAAGACACGAGGAAGGCAATCCCCTTCCCAAACGTTAAAAAGGGGAAAAAAAAAGGAAAAGGAATCAAGAGTATCTAAAATCTAAAAGAAGCCAGTCCCCACATCCCAGATCCCAATTTCCAATTTTTACCGTTTGGAGCTGGTGCTCTGTGGTTTTGTTACAAATGGTGAAAGAATACAGAAATCAAAACTGGGCAGTGGGTAACTGAAAGAGGCAGAGAGTCAGAGACCAATTTCCAATTGAAAAATAGTGCCTGCATTTTTTGGTTGAAGTTTGACGGTGCCGCCATTCAGATCGGCCATCTCCTTTATGTCTTTGCCGGATACGGAACCATTGATTATGTAAAAGCTTCAAGGAAAAGGCTGTGCAGACGAATTTGCCCCTCAAAAAGTTGATTTCCGTCTCTCCTAACGGCACAAATACACGGAGTGACCAAAACGGTACAGATTTACTAGTTCAGTGACATTTCGCGCTAATAAAAAAGTTTAGTGACCAGAACCGGCACTTTGAAATAGTTTAGTGACATTTCGCGCAATTCGCTCAAGATCTAATAACCACTAAAAAAAGAAACTCTTAACTGATTCTTATGATAGTGAACAAGCATCTACCTACCGATCCAAGACATAAACAGAATGGCTCTAAAGGATACCTGTCGCAACATGCCAGTGCAACCATCTTCAATAGCGTTTTTTCGGATGTTAGCAGCAAGCCAGAGAAGAATGGCATCACACAGAAATTTCTCGCTGTTAGGGATAGGTTAACTAATATCAGCATTATAATTGACACTATTAATCTACTACAATGGGAAGTTAAAAAAGCAAAAAATCCAACCTATCTATGGTCAATTCGGGATGTTGAATGCATGTATTCAGTAACTGGTAAGGAACATCCAAAAAAGAGTCACACAACATTGCCCACTTCTGGAGAAGTATAATATACCCAGTTAGATTGAAGAAAAGAAGGGACCAGCACAATTGGTAATGGAAGTAGATGATTTGGCAGGGATAACAAATCCACAATCCTAAGCACTTACGAGGTTCCTTGCTAGATAACTCGTGCAAAGATGTAGAATCAAATCATTTGCTGCAACATATTCCATTTTCATCTATAAGATGGAATGATATAACATACATGTCAAAACACAACCTAACAAACAAGATCTTATAAATGCCATTTTCATAGTTTCCAAGCAGTAAAAATCTTCCTTACCATGCTCTACACCATACTTCCAAACACGGATCAAAGCATCTACTTGTAGTTTTGGAGTCAATGGGTCCTTGGAAGATGTTACTTCCCTCAACCAAAGCTGACATTGCAAGAGCAGCGATTCCACTCCAAAAAATAGAGCAGCCTGATATATAAATAGCAAGTTTGAAGAATCAAATGAATCATCTCAGAAACAAGTCATATTTCTTGTCCATCTAGACTTTAAAATATAAAACATATTAGAGTAGTACAGTGGCAGCAGAAAAAACTACATAATACATGAAGGTTTTGTCATCCCAAAATTACACCAAGTCATTATCATCCAAAATATAACTCTTCCATTCAAAATGACTTTATACAGAGCTCTTAAAGATGTCAAATAAAGAAAGAACAAGTTATTTCCAGGAGAAACTGCATTACACAATGGGTTTGACATGTTTCAGCAACAAACTTGAAACCATTCTTTCATTGGTGTAAATATGAATATGGATGAATTTCCAAAAACAACATGCTTTCATGAAGCAGAATAATGAAAAAAAACATGCACAATGATTACTGAAAAAATTCTGTTGTAAAATCCTTCAACTTAATGCCACACTGTCTTCAATTTAACCGAAAATATTATCTATGGACACACTAACTTTATGAAGTTTGATGTTCTTTCGAACTGTTGAAGGCCAATATGATGAATGTTTGGCTCCCACAGTTATCATGCATTACTAGATGAGATTAGGTCTAGATGAATATAAATGCAGGTGCTGAATCTGCTTAAGTTCTATACCAATTACGTTCAGTTCGAGTATCATGATGACAACCTCAAGGGAATTAAAAATTGTCCAAAGAAATAAAATGAGAGTTTGGTTGAACAAATAAGATTCATGAGGAGCCAAATTGCCAAGGGGCCACGAACGGAAACATAAATACTTTAGTTAGATCAAATCTACAACTTCAAGAAGAAACATGTTGGTGTTCGTGATATTCTTATGTACTTCTGCACTTGTGGGAACCGTTGTTTCTGTTATTGTCCACCTAAGCATCAATTTTAGTGTATGTCTTCCAGTTATTATCAAGTTAAACCCTTCATCCATCTTGAACAAAGAAGTTAGGAGCATTCTTTCCACTTTGTACCATCAACTCTCCATTCAAACAGAAGGAATATATACATATATATATATATATGTATAAGCTTTCGTGATGTTTGCGGCGTATGACAGCTTGAAGCACATAAATTTTTGACAAAAAGCAGGATTCCAAGTTCAAATGAAGCTTCTAAGCCAAACTGTCAAATGTTGTCAAAATCAATAACATGTTATAACCTCTTATGGTCTTACCTCATAGAGAAGAATAAAATTATCAGAGGTGATCTCCACATAATATCCAAACATGAACCTCAAAACACTCAAAAATGATTGTGCGTTCCAATGAATTGATACCAAATCCAGGCAAGATTCACTGCAGAAATCAACAAAAAAAAATGTTTTAATAGCTACCAAATAGGTACCAAAGAGCTAAAATATCACAATACTTTATATCCGGTAAAAAAAAAAAAATTCTGATCAATCTACTGATAAAGTGATGAACAGTAATACCTAAAGCTTCCAGATAAGAGACCGCTAAAATAGGAAGACATTTGAATGATCCTGTAGAAAAGTTGTCAAGAAATACTCATTCCAAAAGAAGAGTCTAGTGGAACTGCAATTGAACTGGATGAGAATAGCAGTACAGAATTATAAGCATGTTAAGGAAGGAAGATGAGGCAGTCAGTATTAGTTTGCCTGTTTCGATTGGCTTTGATTTGGACGATTCTGTGAGTGAGAATGGAAGTCAAGTCCCATTTGTAAATCTCAGCGGTTGAAATGGAAATCACATCTTCCGCGTCATCTTCAACGTCGTCTTCCATACACCTTAGAGTTACGAATTCCTCGTCTTCGTCCATGCCGGTGTTCGTCGCCATGAATACACTGCTACCAAATTTCTCTCCACTCTCGTGAAAAAGAAAGAACCGGGATCGGGAAGGACCCGAGTCACTGGCTTAAGAGCTATATAAACCCTAGACTAGACGCCGGTCCAAGAGTTTGTTTGGATGGGAAGACTTGCATAAAAAAGTTTCAAAATTTTTTTATTTATATCATAAATATAATTTTTAATTATTTTTTATTTTACATACATCACATCATAAAAAATATAATAATAATTAATTCAAATAAATATTTAAATAACATCCTGTCCAAACAAAATTAACTTGTGAGGCTTTTATTCACTTTCCCCACCCCCATTCTTTGGTAAATATCTCTTTTAGACTCGGATCCATTGAAATTTTTTCAGACCAACAGTTCACTTGCTTCAACAGTTAAAGAGACCATTCCTGTTTCCTTCATAGCTGTCCAATTTCCCTTCCTTTTGCAGTTTGCTGTACCGCGAAAAAGAATAAACCCAGAAAGACGTAGTGGACCTTGCTTTCACCTCTTGGGTTGTCATAAAAAATCGGACCCATCTCACAAATCCATGGGCACATCATTGATTCGAGATGCAAAACGAAACTGCACAATGGGTCACCATCAAAATTATGAGAAGGGCTGGGCTTGCCATCCTCATTTTCTTTCTCTAAAGCCCAAAAGTGAGTTCCTCAATGCGATGGTGACTTTTCCTCGGTGAAGGTTCAGTAAAATTCGGCAAATTTTAAACATGAGCGCAAACTACAACTTTTATATTAGAAATCGCTTTTTTCTGGAGGTTTCATAGGAAATTTACTGTAGACATTTTATGTATGTAAGATAAAAAATGTGGTTAAAAAATCTAGATCTAGAAGGAACAAGCTTAGCTTAGCAACGTAGCAGCAGAAGGATGGGCTGTGCATGGGTTGACGTCAGTTTGGGAAATCCGATTCAGAAAAGTGGTCGGTAGAATCTGTTTCGAAGATGGCTATTTCACTTGTTGAAGATGGCAAGCAGGAGAGTCCTTACTTAGTCCTCATCATAACTCAATGAACAAGTTAAGGCAGCGGACAAGCACGGACCGGCAATGTAAGGGGATCCCTTGTTTGAAGCGAAGGCAGAACCCATGATGATTACCTAAGAAGCACATGATCCATCTTTGTTAAACACTCTCATCTCTGGTATGCATCAACCGGATTTTTCTTGTGACCGAAATGTCAGATGTTATAGATGTAACTGCATTTTAAAGCAATAGAAATTATGTACTGCAATAGGTGATCTCTAGCGTTGTTTAATCTAAACAACCTCCCAGAGTTCTGAGAATAGAAGGCCTCACAAGCGGATTTTCCATTACTATCAGTACAATGATATCTAGCGGAAAAGTTGGACCGAAGACATATGTACAGCTCCGGTTTCCACAACAAAATTCTCACTCACACTGTTCTGGTGTTTTAAGTACAAATACATGAAAATTAAATAAAGATGGGGGAAGCCTGCATCCATGTCCAGGAGGCGCCTCAATGACAATTACCTTCTCAAAGCACCATAGTTCCTTGTGGCCTACAATCAGAATTGCTCGTTAGGTCGAATACCTAAAATCTTGAGAAAGGTTGACGGCTGACCTGTACATATTCAACCGACAAACTCTCCACTCAAAGAATATTGGAATACTTTTATTCCAGTATATTACAAGCATTAAATTCTAACTTTAGAATATTTGATCAAATCAGTGGCAAATTAAAATTAAAAAAAAAAACTAAATAAAAGTTATATGAATCAGCAATAAATACTTTATGCAAGAAGTTAGGTGCCGAACCATGCGGAAGAAAAGGTGACACCAATGGTGGAGAGGCTTACATGCATGAAAGTTTTAATTAGTCAAAGCATAAAAAGAACAATTACAATGGTTACTCTACAAAAATGACAATTTTTGTAACATTTTTGTAGTTCTAAAGTTTCTCATCTTTCCTTAAAGATAAAATGATGCAGCTCAATGCCTGGGAACATAAAGTACATAAAAGAACAAATAACTACGGATCATACTCCTTATATCAAATTCATCCACCGAAGAGAATTCCTAGAATATGGTAACGTGGATATTCAGGCACTACATGCTTTGACCACGTAAAACTGTACATATCATTCAAACTACGGTTTCAACTTTCAATTACATATTAAAAAGTGCGAAAAAATGCTAGAATAAATTGCAGGTCAGGGATTTTAATATGTAAGCATATGTGGAAAGAATCAATTGCTTTCATCAAGCAAAAGCAACAAAAGGAACTAGCAAGTAATCACAATTAACATGACAAGGAAAGCATCAACAGTAGATTCAACTGCAATAATTTTGAAAGGAGAGGGATCTTGGTTCTTACAGCAACATATTCTAGAATTTGGTGACATCAATAGCAGCAGGAAACCCTAAAACATGAGTTTGTTTTGAATGTCACTTACCCGAGTTTGAGATCTATTTTTCTTTGCCATATCGTCATCGTCGTCGTCGTCATCGTCATCTCTGTTCATGAGCATCTTGTGAAATGAAGAAGACGCGTTATCTGATTTCCTTCCCCTTTTAGAGGCTGTTGTAGAACCTCTACCCCTTCCCCTTGGAGCAGCTCTTTTCTGTCCTTTGCCTCGGACAGATTTTTCTTCCTATAACAAGCCAAAACAAAATTATTTGCTAAGGGTGTGTAAGCATTGGTATACTATTAAGATAGTTTAGAGACAGAGTTTAAAACTTGCGTATACTTATCTACATGTTAGTCAAAAGCATGGAGGTGCACATGGAAAACAATTTAAATTGTATCCACTTCCTAAACAAATACCTATAAATCTAAGTGCGAAAATCATAAATGACCCAATTACAGGATACATCGGTTTGACATGCAAAAACATTAGACCCAGGCAGATATGATCTGGGTACTCTACTAGTTTGTAACTCATCTTTATATACTTTTTTCTTGTACTCAAGCATTTATATGGTACAAGACTAAGTTAGAGGAGATATTGTGCTATCTTATATCATTTTTAACTCATCATGTAAACATTACACATGCATTTTGTTTCCATGTCAAATTCACATTACACGTTATGCATATAATATGATCTCATCCAGAATATTCAATTGCTAATTACCTCTGGATCCTAATTAAATAGAACACATTTTCAAATTCCAGAAATATGTTAATACTGGTTGGTGTATTAAAATTCAGAACCTACATACAAATCTAGAGCCAAATCATGTACAAGTCAAAAAAGGACCAGCCATTATGAAGCATATCTAACCCATCGTTAAGCAGAGTAGCATCCAATTCAAGAAGGATATCAGGCGAGTCTATTATAGAAAAGCATAGCAATATGAAAAAGAGCAACTTGGCTTGAAACTTCAAGGAGTCCTGGCACAAGTAAATCGGTTGGAACTACTCATGCTATGCACCAATAGTTCAAGTTAACCAGAGACAGAGTCTCTACCTTGAAGTGTAAAATAAAACGCACATATGCTCACAGAGGATGTTTTTCTTATCCATATAATGAAAAAAAAAAATCATACCGAACTATTTTCGATGTCATTTATGCAATGTTCTGCTCCATCATCACTTGAAGAAACCACATTCTCCTCATCTTCAGCGATGGTCCGCACGGATGCCATTGCTGCAGTTGATGCGGATCTGCAAAAGGTCATCAAAAGAATTTCTCCATACTGTCAACCAGATGTTCATGGAGAAGACTATATCTTCACACTACAGAACATGAAACTAAATAACTTCTTGCTTCATAGCTTTCAACTGCATGGACATGGCACTATAAACCAATAGCTAATTCACAAGCTACAATTCCAATTCTATAAAAGTATTGCAATAATGCTTTGAGTTCTGCAATATCAATCAGATGTGTTGAGACAAAGTCAGTGAGGAAATACATCTAAATATTACCGGAACCAGACAAAAGTTCATTTAGAGAGAATGTGAACAAAAAGGAGCAACAAAGAAAAAACATAGACAGCAGTCATTGCTAGACAGCCAGGCCAAGACCAACAAGTCCAACTCCAGTGCCTAAACTTCTGAACTCTGATGATGTCATTTTATCAGTATCATGATTAACAAAGAAACTGTTCCACTAAGCCAGCCAAAAAAAACCAGCTTAATCCCTGATCTTATTTCAAATATATGGCAAAACTCACAAGCAAAGCACAACATTTTCAATTCAGGTCCAACAAATGCATTGCTCAGCAGCTCAATTCAACCAACAAGTGTGAAAATCAGATTGAAGGAAGTCTTAGTCTACGTCTTGTATGTAACTGAAAGCTATGAAATAAACCTAAACATCAGGATGAAGGAAGCTTTATCCACTACACTTCTTGTATTTCAGCTTCCTGCCAAGTCTACTTATAAGAATGAAAAAATCAGCAAAGAGAAAGAAAAACCGATCGTAACTACATAATGCAGCAGACTTTAAGTAACTCTCTGCATTTCGCAAGTCTAGTACCTTTCCTTTTTATTTCTAAGCAGATCACACGTACACAATGAATGTTGAAAAGAAATTCAATAGTGGAAACCACTAGAGCAAGAACCAAATTTTACCAGAAGGTAGGAACTTGGACACAATGTAATAAAATTACGGAAAACCAATAAATGCAAGATCTTTCTAAAATCTTAGTATTAAAGTGTTGCATCATAACTTTCTTGAATCGAAATTGTTGAATGAAGTAACAACTCCAAGATCTTCAGCTAATGTCAATCAGAGTAGAACTCAAGGAAGGCTTCATCAAGCACAAATGATTGCAGTGAGGAGGCTCTAGTTCTGATATCAGTTCAAGAACTACCACATCATATGTAATTAGTGAATTCCTCAAGTCACATACAAATATCCCAACCATACATTTAGCCTTGTAACAAAAAGGTACCCGCCTCTTCTGACAAATATAACGAAGCAAGCTAACCAGAAGTTCTTCTATGCATGTCTACAGTCATCAGCTTGGAAAAAGGAACCAAAAGAACAGCATGGTAATCACAAAAGAACAGGGCCATACCTCTGCGACTGGCGCAACCCCATAGCCACATCAAGGGTTGTTTGCTTTAAGTTGGTAGAAGACCTGCCTCTGCCTCTCCCTCTCCCTCGTCCTCT